TATGTGTTTGTATTTTTTGCACACTGGGACAGAGTTGCACTCTGAATCTCATTATACTCTGTGTATAATGACAATAAAAGGCTTTAACTTAACTTTAACTTAACTACTCACAGGAACTGGAGAAGGAAAGGACACATCTCTTGGAAGATGTGACATCTAACAAGAGAAAGATGAAGGAACTAGAGGACAACCTCCTCTACCGACTGACCAGCACACAGGCAAGGCAAACACATTTCAACGTGTTGAACAACATTGCCTCCAACTGAATTAGTTTTGGACATGTGGTAATGTGAGTGTAGATACTGAACTTGTGGTGGAAGCTACTTTTTAAACCAGTTTGTCTGTCTTTATTTTTCATCCTGCTTTTAAAAAAAACAGATGATGAAGTATCTATCATTCCAAGTTACATTCAGATTTTGGCCATTACAGTTGTTGCTAGGAAGGAAGAATATTATATCAGTAACAGCAATGGGTATTGTTTCTATTTTTATTCAACTTCTTACATACTCCTACAAATGTGTCTTTTTCTAGGGTTCACTGGTGGATGATGAGAGTCTGATTATTGTCCTTGGCAACACCAAGCGCACAGCTGAAGACGTCACTCAGAAACTGCAGATTGCGGCAGAGACTGAGATCCAGATCAATGCTGCCAGAGAAGAGTACCGGCCTGGTAAGTCATGACAATTGGCTCAAAGACAGAATTTCCTCTGATTGGTTACTATGTGCCAGCCAAGTTTATGTTCAGTTTCACAAAACTGATTCATTTTCAATTTACAATTCTGCTTAATCAAGGACTGCACCAAATAAAACATGTGCTCACCACTCACATCCCTCTAAAACAGATTTAGTTTATAACGAAAAGTATGTTGTTCTGTGTTATATACTGTAAGGACTACTGTGTACAGCTTTGGAAACAATTAAGAGACCACTGCAGCATTATCAGTTTCTCTGATTGTACTATTTATAGGTATGTGTTTGAGTAAAATAATTGTAACAACATTCCTCTGTGTTGGAATTCAACAGACATTGGAATGTTGAGTAGTCTTTTATTTTTCTTCAGAGCTATATTTATGAAAAAGATGATTTTGAAAAAACAAAACAGACTGTAAAGTAAGCAGACACCTCAAAGCCTTAGTCACTAACTTGTGCTACAAGAACACTTGTTCAGCACACTTCCTTTGCCATTAATAATACCAATTTCTTTTTGTTTGTGCGTGTTTTGCAGTGGCCACCAGGGGCAGTATCCTGTACTTCCTGATCACTGAGATGAGTATGGTGAATGTCATGTATCAGACCTCTCTGAGACAGTTCCTGGGACCTTTTGACCTCTCTTTGGCCCGGTGAGAATACTCTTCTGCTCCCTGTACACAGCAAGCGATGCTGTTCAACTCAAAGTCAGCCTTTGTCTTACAAATTGTGCTCCTCTAACTGGGATTTGTAAAGCCTCAGTGGGGGACTTGTTTCGGTTATTGGCATCATGAGTTAGTGCTGCTGGAGCACTTGGTGTACCCTCCAGGCAACTGAATTTGATTATAATTTGTGCGTCTGTTACATAATATTAGCTTTACACATAGTACTGATTTCCTAAAAGGGAAAACAAATGAATAGATTTCATTTACAGTTTACAGCCAATCTGTGGACCAAAACCTTCCTCAATAATTCTCCATTATCTTTTATTTTATTTTTACATTTACAAACATTTATAGCACAAAAGAGAGCCTGCAATAATTTGTCAGAAACGTCACAATTATACATGGAGCTCATTTGAAAAGCAAGATAACATTGGAGAATACAATAAAGAAAGTCAATTTCCATTTATTATACCCATCAATTAAAATAAACTGCCCTTCTTTTTAACAAAAGAAGCTCTGTGTAATTTACTTTGTTATTTAAAAATAAAGCTACCATGTGGTTGATTCTTGTAGTTTATATTATGAAATAGAGAAGTCACTCTTGTGCTTGACCTCTGTAGCTATGTAGTTGGAATACAAATACACTTATGAAGTCCCTATTTCTGTTATAATCTGAACAATAAAGTGCTTTTCAGTCTAATGTAACAATGCTACAAAGATGGCCGAAGCATCATCATAGGGTTATCATGATCGAATCTCTTTCACAGAGCTTCAGCAAATATTCAATATTATTTGCTTCATATAGCTCTCCTTAAATAAAAGATGCAGATGAAGTAAATATATTCATCATAAAGTTCTGTTTTCAATTTGTTTCCATCTCGCATTTCACTAATGCTCCTTAATTGCTGTTGTCATGGTTTGACCTTGTATACCCAATAACATATTTGAGGTATGTGTGTAGTGGACATATTTGCTACAGTATGTTAAGGGTGGTATCTACAGCATATGTGATGATACTACTGACCATGTTTACTCTAACTGCGATATTTTGTATTTTTCAAAATACATTTGCTGTTTATCTTAGTGCAATGTCTGCATGAGGTGATCATCAAACACTGTGACAACCCATTTGAATCAGCTATCTATGCATTAGCAACTTCAACTACTTCTCAACAAATTATACAACTGATTGATTGCTAAAATACAGTACCCAGCAACCTTTTTTTCAACCTGTTTGTCTGTGTAATTATTATTTTTTTGTTTTGTTATTTTATCTCCCATTGTAAAGCGTCCTTGGGTTTCTTGAAAGGCGCCATAAAAATCGAAATTATTAATATTATTATTATTACT